TAAAAATGCTAAAAGGCCGCCTTGTTTTTACCTGGAAACGATAGTTGAGATATTGCGGTATATCTTGGAGGAAGAAAAATGGTCTTCATAGCGTGCTTTGAGCTGCAACGCCCCGTTTTGGACTCAACTTCCATGCCATCCAAAGAGAACACGAAGGATGAGCTACTGTCAGGTTGCCCAAGCCTAGACAGGAGCAGTCAAGATCCCGTGGTTGGTCTCGAATCATGGAATATGCAGTAAGTAAGTTATTGCTTTGAGCACTGCGCCTTCCCGCCCAAAGCCCACAAACGGTTTTACCCCCAACAATCTCCGCTGGTAGGCACAGTCCCCGAATTTCTTAGTGAATGAACATCATTCCATTGTTTTCTCGTGCCCTCATTGATTTCAGCTCAATACACCATATGGCAGCGAACTTAAATCCACATGCATAGCGATTCAATTACTGCTCTACAGTACTGCGGTTTTTTCGACGAGAAATGAGCAATCCAGCAGACAACTATCGTAGAAGGCACACAAGTGTTATAGCGCAGTCTCAACAAAAAGAGGAGATGCATTCGGTCACAAAATGAGAATCTTTCATCGTGTCTTGAAGTTTTGTGAATAAGTCCATTGTCGTCTATTGTCCATTCAGCTGTATCACACTCTCGGTGCTTTGCTGCCGAAGGAAGAACAAGGGCCGCGATACTGCTAAGTTGCCCAAGTCTAGACAGGAGAAGTTGAGATACATAAGTCGGGTTTGAATCACGGACCATCCGACCAGTGAATTCGCACTCTAACCACTGAGTCAACTCGCTCCCCTTTTGAAGAAGTAGGACAAATGCAGTGTGTCTTCATCTATCGGTTAACTAATTATTTGTTATTATCGTTGTTATTACCCTCCCAAATTCAGTATTGCATTTCATCAGCATAAAGTGACGTGGAACAAAATCGTCGCTAATTTTTCTGATCAGATTGTCTCCAGAAGTCGAGGATTGATCTCAATCGTGAACGCTGAAAAGCGGAAGTCCTCAGAACATTCACGCCTTTGCTGTGTTTCCCGAACACTGACTGTGATGTCAGAGGGAAAGATCGAAAGATAGGAGCGTGCAGCATTTTGGGCCTATGGACCGTGCAATGATCCAGCGAAAAAGTTGAGGTCACATTTATGCGATTGCGAATACCGCAGACTGCACTTCTATTCTGGGGAGCAATACCGAGTTCATCTCCTTCTGGATGGCTTCGAAGGTCAAAGCACGATCCACCCGCTCAGAAGAGATTGTGCGACGCGTGGTTTCAGTTGCATTTGGGGGTGTGTTTACGATGCAAACTGACAAGTAAAGCAAGAAGAGCAATAACTAGAGCCTCATGTGTTTTGGGTATGACTTTCGAGTGACACGGGGCATTCACCTCCACAGTTTGGTTGCGCCCATATTATCTGGAAGTTACGGGACATCAGTTAGGAATACTGAAGGTTTACGAGCTTCTTCATTTTGTCCATCCTTTTCAGTTGGATTACACCAGATAAAAGTGTATGGCTCGGAGCAAGCGGCATATTTCTCTGCCCATGTGTGTGAGGCCCAGCAGCAAAGCTTGATGAGACCAGTGGATCCGCCATACAAACCAAGTCTTCTTTTTACCGCGTTCTTTTCTCACGAAACGCACCGTACTGTGTAGAGCTTCCCCATCGAACAGTATCCCTATGATATCACCAGGTTGAGTGAAAGCGTTGCACAACGCTATCCCGAACCGGACTCTTGGGGAAGAGTTTGTAGCAGCCACTAAAACGGAGCAAAGATGATTGAATGATCGTGCAAACATTTGTTTACAGATTCCTACACAGTGAACTGCTTTGCGTATTATCGATGAAGTACAGGCGTCAATAATGAAGATACTGACCAACATTGATCAGCTCTGTGTTTTCACGGACAGTCATCGACCGTAGGTTTATGTATTCAAGTGCGACAGTTGCAATGGTCTAATCTGAGCCCGCGTTAACAGTTTTGTGTGACATGTACGGTGTGCAACATCAGAGTGCCTCGGAATTTGTGCCAGACAAAGGCGTACAGACGAAAGGTGATGAAGGCAGGAAGGAAGACACTCCGGTGGACACAATAAGATATAACGGGCAAAAATGAGGCAACATTTTGCTCACCGTCTTCCTGTAATCCACAATGGCAAAACGTAGCAACTGTCAGCTGAAAACTAATTACCTGCGACTTACGAATTTGATAGTATTCAACCACCCCGCAGGCGCGCCAAAATACACAGTCATTTCATGTCTTCAAATACACAAGGTAGGAATGATCGTTAAGGGTGTCCAACCTGTTCCGATCCGAACCGAAACAGCATTCTGTGCGGTCAAATACCCATTGTTTATGCAATTCTCGACTTCCAAACAGCTCATGCATCGCAAACCGCGCTGTAGGTTTATTACCTTTAGGCCGGATGAATTTGGAATCAAGTTTCGAATGTTTGTAAATACAGTTTCAAAACTTCGCACAGCCATATTCTATCGTGTGTAGAAAAAAAAACAGGCAATCGGCTGTCCTTGTTTCGACTGTGTTGTGGCTTAGAGTGGTTAGAGCGCGAACTTACTGACCGGAAGGTCCGTGGTTCGAATCCGACCTTTGCCTCTCGAATTCCCCTGTCTAGGCTTGGGCAACCTGACAGTATCCCAGCCCTCGTGCTTCCTTCGGTTAGCACGGCAGCTGGGCACCGGAAGGGTGTTACAGCTGAGAGGAGTAGACAAACGCGATATGTGCGAATTTAAGAAACTTCGAGAGATTTCATGATTGATCTTGGGAAAATTACGTCTAGACAGAGGCAGGTTGTATAGCATGAACAATTTTCATCCAGTTCGCCTGGAAAACAGAACTTGTTACATTCTGAATACTGTGTCACTTCATTCACTACGCAACGGTTTTTGGAGATCTCACCAAACCTCAATAAGGCATTGCAGCACGCAGTTCAAACACAGTGTGCAATCACCATGTCATGTTCTCAGACTGGGTATAGCACTATAATGAGTACTTTGAGGCTCCGAATGAAATGCTGAGATTTCACACACATTGAAAAAGCAAATGATACGGACTCAAACGCTTGTTTGTGGGACATTTCAGTGTTCGGTCGAGACCTTGTCCTGTAATTGTATGTAGAAAAACCACGGGTGCATCTAACGAATTTCCAAAAAATTTGAACCTCGGACCTTTTGACTATTAACTGAAGATAGGACCGTTCGAGCACTGGCACCTGATTGTGATTGGCTGACTTGGTCCTAGAGAGAGTGTGGCGTGACTCATGCCTCGGTTACGGAGTTCACATCACGTGGCCTAATGTTGATTGGTTCAAACGTGTAACAAGACTGATGGAGACCCGGAGACATGGCCTACCTGTTGAGCGCTGCGAAGAAACAAGCCGGTAGTGGGATATCCAAAACAGCCAAATCTCTAACAACGTTCTGTTTGGCTACTCACTTGCGTAATTTATGTTCAATTTACTCGACAACCTTTTGAGAAAAGCTTGTCTTCCGAATTTCTTGCCCAGAGCACAACACACAATTTGGTGCAAAGAACAGACTGAAGCTTAGAATATTATTTTATTTCCTGTTAGTAAATAAAAGTGAATTCAGCTGCTAAAGTCGAAAACCCAGAATACGGAGTATCAGCATCTATCTTCTGAGTAGTATCTTGTCAGAGCAATTCAGAAAAAAGAGATGAATCAAGCGGCAGCTACAATAAGATTAAGAGTAGTTGTTCACTTTCATCTACTCAAGTCTTACTCGAGCATTTCCCCTCGTGTCCACCCACGATGATTCTGGTTTGTCTATATCATCCCGTGGGAACACTAGACTCGAGCTTATTTGAGCTCCTCGATGGTGTATATCCTTGGCAGTGCTCGGACTCGAACCCCGGATATCTGACAGACTAGGTGAATGTGTTAATACTATTCCATCAGTGGATGCTGGAATTGTCTCCACTGTCCACTCTGAACAGATGAAAGAGTTCAAAACGTGACTGGTATACCCGACGAATCCACCGACGGCTGATCAGCTGACTGGCCGTTCAGGACCCCCCCCTAGTCAGACAACGTTGTGAATGCGTTAAATCAGCTGGGCGATGTTCCGTTGCATCGAACATGAGTTGGTGGACTAGAAGCAGTAACCCCGTAGCAGATGCAAGGAGTTCAAGGTCCAGGATCCATACTGTTTATAAGCCGTTACAATAGAAATCCAGCGTTACTCCTTTCTGGTGTGGACTATCAGATTAATCTTTTCGAGAAAAGAGTAGATTCTTAAAACGAGAATGATGTGAATACGAACTCACTAATTCTACAATCCTTCAAGTGTTGCCATCCCCAGACAGCTTGAGAACACCGAATTTTCTTTATAATGGGTGGAACACCACACGAACCTCTGGGGAGATCAGAACATGCAATATCCGGCTGCTGATTGCTTGCGACCTCAATAGGTTTGAGGCGACTGAATACTGGTATCTACAGCTTGGTTCCAAAAAGCAATGGAAGGGAAAAGTTACCCAGGACACTGCCACGATATTTCTCGCCTTTAAAGGACCATCGAATACGGACAACTTCAGTGGTTGAAGACTGTCTGCTTAAGTAATGAACTGATCATATTCACACCGAGGTCAACGTACGACGCAAGCAGTGCCCTCTTGGGGTTAAATGAAAATATGGATATTCTCAATTGTAATGCAACCTTAAAGGGTAATGTCAAACGCGTCGAATCTCGAGTTATTCAAAGAATTCACCGGTGAAATCCGAAATGGCTGACTCAGTGCGCGGAATTGCCCACTCCTCGCCTTTCATGGGTAAAGTAGATGACTAATCGTTAGACATGCCATAGAGGTAGTAAAGTAAGAACAGGAGTTTATACTCTGGTACGATGCTTGACTGAATACGGTACAACAAGATGTCCGCTCCCGTTTTAAAATGATTGATTCGAAAGGGGTTGGAAATCAGCTATTACGACAGTGAAATTTGCGAGCAAAACCGATAAAACTGACCTTCGTTTTCCATGAGATGAATGCTCCTCCTTCACGTCACGTGAGCTTACAGACTGACTGAGAGATGAGCTTCTTGTATTCTGTTTTTGACTACGTTTCCAGCTGAATTTCTTTGCCAGCTTAGCGCGAATCGTGAAACAAATCATAATTGCACATACGCTTGATAGCGATAGTGTGATCCAGACGAAATTAACTCCAGTTATTTGCGACAGTAGTTGATATTTGACGTTTGACAGTTTGAATGCTATGTGTTCGGAATCATGTGGCCACGTATCAGCTGACTTGTCTGACCGATCGTTTGTGCCGAACAGCGCCTTGGCATATACCATGCCGGAAAAAAGTGAAACTAATTGCAAAGCGATCAGGTAGATGACGACCATAATATCGTCGACGACGGTCAGTTGATACTGGCTATTTGAATCACCAGGACTGTACCCTGTTTTGGAGCAGTTGCCATTGCCGGACGAACGTTCACACCGCGCGGCAAGTGTGCCAGCGTGTGTGGTCTGCACGCGATGCAGAAGACCGGATGCTGAGACGCTGGATCCTGATTGGCTTATCCTGTAATTCTAAGCCTCATCTCATTGGAGGATTTGCCTGCTCATGCCGGTGCTAGCGTGACACGATTGGCGTCAGCTTTGTCTATGATTAGGCCTCTCATGACGCCATGAGTGAATTCAGAAAAGTTATTTTCCAGTAAAATCAATGTGGTTTTGGTTGCGGCGGGAACCGAACAGATGTGCAATGTCGTGAAGTGATATTCTGTACAAATATTGTCGTTACATATAAATACAGATATAGATAAACGTCTTGTAGTCAGACATTCATATCTTTGTTATCCTCATATATCAGACATGCCTGCAATTAAACACAAAAGAATTTGAATACGTTCAAGGAGACCGTCTAAACGGTGGTCAACGATCATATCCAATGGACCAATCAAGTAGGCCATGATTTTATCACAGACTGACCATCAACGACTACGGTACACACGTTCAATAGGTTTCAAGTAGCTAAACACTGAAGTCCATTCTCAGTAAGATCGAATACCTCTAGTTTAGTCGCCAGAGGACGCTTACCGTAAAGAATTATGCAGTGGTCACACACTACGTGAAAATGTGGCTCCCAGCGGATCATGGAATTTAGGACAGGACAGCTTTAATACAATGGCCTTTGTTCGAATGCAGGACGAAGTCTGATCGCAGCATCCTCTGGGAGCATCTGTGTCCAACAAGCACGCCTTAAAACACGGGTTGCATTCTTTATTAGTTACCTCAGAAAATATTCATGAGTTGACGTCAAAGAGACTTCTAAAAGTTGACGAAGGACGCACGGCTTATAATGATACAAAATGGCTCTAGTATTTTGTTCTACTCTGAAAATATTATCCCAATGACAGCCTTATAGAGGTAGCATTAAGCAGAGTCGCATCTGATCCAGTGATGAAAGATGCTGATCTCTGATTGGCCCATTATCTTTAACTGTGATAGTGTTATGTCAGTAACGCTGAGAAACACTACACAGCTCTTTCAGCCGTGTTCACTTATCATCTGCAGTCCACATAGCTCACGAAACACAGAAAGCTTCGAACCCGCATTCCTCCGGTGGGCCAGTGGCCCAACATTTAACGGTTGGGTCACGAGCGGTTGAACAGTAGCATGACTGGTTGTCACTTGAAGAGGACACAGCCCTGCTCTTCCTTCAAGAGTCACACAAACCACATCACGTGGTCACGCATTGATTGATTCCTCAAGCGACCACTTCTCAGAAGGAAGTTTAACTCGTAAAGGAAACCACCCACAAGGTTGCTGAAAACTCCTCGACAGCCCACGACCGGTTTCGCCCTTCTTGGGGCTCATCAGGTAGGCGCTGCCCCCGAGTTCCCGTCAACCTTATGCCCTACTTGAAACCAAACTGGACTGTTTTCGAGAAATACACTCGTTTGCAAATCGATGAGTTTTCAGCAACCTTGTGAGTAGTCTCTTTTATGAAAATATACTGCGATATCTCGAATATCGTGCCAGCTAAAACATGAGGCGGCCTGTGTGCAGCACATTCAGTTGTAGAATATCATAAACCAGAGATTCAGTTGAGTTTGTCGTGAAAATCTAATTGATTTGCAAGAGTGTATATCTCGAAGTTCAACTCATCTTGCGAAGTTATTGCTGGCAACCATATGAATGAACTAAAACACCGGTTTACTGGTCCAACTACTCGCTAGCATATAATATCACCCTTTATTTCAAAGTAGTTGAATACATGCGTATATACCCCACACTCCCCCCTCCTCTTGGAATAAAATCTGGGATGTCTCAGTGGTCTCTTGATTGAAACATTTGGTCTTCTCAAGGGAAGTGAAGGGAACCATCTAACCACATCTGATGGTCAATTGAGTGTTTAGTTCATTTTTTACGGGTTTTCAATATCTCCTTCGCGTTTTTCGGAGGGGATAATAAATTTCAACCATTTTGCTGCTTCCAACGGGGTCCCGCTTTTGGACTATGTATCAAAGATACTTTTCATATCCTCAGTATTTGCCATAATTGAGTACGATTAAGATCAATCAAGTTGTGCCAAGCCTGAATGAAGTTAACTGGTCATCCTTTCCCAACTCATGACAGGACCAACCACCTCGTTGTCATATTTTTCAGAAACGAACTCCGTATTGTGCAATACCGGGTGACAGATGCCACCTGGTGTGATGACACCGTTCCGCTTGAAACATTCCAGTAAGCCTTTGTGTCCATGTATTTCAACGCATATCCTACGACTTTCACACATTGAACAGACATAGAATGAAGTCGTAATTCCGCCTCCATCAAGCGCCTTCAATGATGAGTGGAGAGTCTAGTGTGTCACGCAGTAAATTCTGGCAGGCTACTCTGCATAGTCCAACCATTTGGGACCTTGCCTATCGACCGGATGAAAACTGATCTTGGAACTTTGTTCGCGAGCACTTTGCCACCATACGCAGAAACGTCAGTTCGGGTCAACAAGTTAACTCAACACAGTGCCAAGCCTAGTTCTGGTATCGACAGTCCGTCAGATTGGCAGACAACAACAAATCCGGCAATAGTATGATGTGGGCCTTTTAAGAGCAGGGGAAACTAGAAAGTGTTTCCGAGAAATACACTCATTTGCAAGAATGTGACACACAAGCACAAATTTGACACAAACTCGCTTATATTAAAGGAGGAATTCGGCTGGGTTCCAGGTGAGTCTCTTGTGAAAACCAAAATGATTTGCAAATGTGTGTATTTCTCGAAACCAGTCCAATTCGGGTTCAATTAGAACATAAGGTTGACGTAAACTCGGGAAGTGCGCCCATCTGATGAGCCCCAAGCAGGGCTAAACCGGTCGTAGGCTGTCGAAGTGTTTTCAGCAACCTTGGGAGTAGTTTCCCTTATGAAAAGTCGATGCAAGTTGTGTTCTTCGACTCGCATCCGTTTATCTAGGACCTAAAGGTACGTGTACTAACTAGGTCGGTTCAGTGATGTGCCGATAAGGCGCGAATTTCGATTTCAAACTTCTCATAACTGTTTGCTCCAGGATATGCATATTCGGTTCATACAGTGGCCAGAGTAATCTTGCTTTAAACACAGTCTACGGTCCTTAGGATCGATAAGGTCTTTGGCCTCAACCACGTTCCTTTCTATTGTGCTATCAATACGGATGAACGTGTCAGTAGTATAACTTCTGCTTACGGTACATCAACTGGAGTCTAGGGGAACCTTGTCTTCTTGTCTAGGTGTTTCGACAACAATAAGCAAATATCACATGAGGTCCAGTGTACACACAGGGCGGACAGTCAAGTAGTATCCAACCCTCAAGTAAGTGGCTGCGAATTAGAGGTCAATCTTCAGAATACTAGGGTGTTCAGGAACAAGTTCACCTAACTCGCTACGGTCATGCAAGAATTAAAAGGAATCTGCATACCCCAGTGTTTCTAGATGGGGTGGTCAGTTTGATCGACTTTCTTGAGAGAATTGAAATCACCCACTAATTAGTCTGAAGTAGCACGGAGAAGGTGAGTGCGACTTTCTCAGAGATAGAAATTTTGACGCAACCCCAGAGGAATCCTTGTTTCTTGACCTCTCTTATGGGGGGTGAACCTTCTCTGTCGCAGGGATTGCTGCACCCCCTGGTTCTACACCTATCATTATTCATTCTACGGTCATGTGTTCCACCCGTTTTAAATCATATCGCGAATTGCTGGTTCTCAATTGCCGAAGGACCAAATCGATATCGGGAGCGAATAGATTTCTGGACAACGAACAGAATGTTTTACTGACAAATCATACGTTGAAAACACAGTTCTTTCTTTTCCGTTGCTCGGCCTGTAAGAAAACCTGACTGCTTAATAACTGATTGTGATGACCCATATATTGGAATTCACGGTTCATCGATCGATTTTATGAGGCGAAAGATCAGTCCCTCCGATAGTCAGATGATAAACAACAGACGCACGCGCGCACACACAGGAAAGACAGCCAGACGCGCCCCCTCAACTCTCTTTGTACAAAATGGTCTGATCACAAACTCAGACATGTTTACTTGCTCAGCTGCATTGTTCTGAACACACGCCCCACGGGGTCGCTGTCTGATCCGTCTCTTTTTCGCATCTGAAAAAAATGTGACCGTTCCGACAAAGGGAATCTGTTGTCTGCAGTCGATTGGATTCATATGCTGGATTAACCAACATCAAAGAGGGATGCAAGTCACGTATTTTCTGAAAAACAATCTTGAGTACGAAAATACTTGAGGACAATTAAGCGACACATTTAAGTAGTAACTAACTCGAACATTTTGAAACCCGATCGGATGTCGCTGAATTGAGGTTGAATTCGGTTTCCGATGCTCACAAAGTTGTAATGTGTCCTCAGAAATTTTGGTATGCAAACCCAGATTTTGTTGGGGGTCTAAGGTGTCTATAAAAAACGGTGGCTATCGGTCGAGTGGGGATATAGTTTCCTAGCTTTCCAGAACAAATCACCGTTTTTACCAAGACAAGGCCATTCTTTACTTTTCTGATTGCTAGTGTTGACAAGACGTCTTTTTTTCCATGCAACTCAATGACAATTCGTCAGGTTTATTTTGCGTTTAAACTGGACATAGTCATTGATTCAAACTAGTATCGATCACAGAGTTACCTGCAATCTGACTGCTGGATCCACAACTTTGCATTCAGAAGAAACTTGATCAAACTCTGAACTTGAGGTGGCTTGGGAAGAATCCCGACCCACAAACTTGTCTAACCCTGGCGTTACTCACTTGATTCCGCAACCCATGGACTCATGTATCGGTCACTCAACCGCCATCCCCCTTAGCTTTCTTTCTCCTTCACTAAAGTTTATGCACCCCCGATTTTCACATAAACTTTTTCACGTGACTTCTGGTACCACATGAATTTTTGAAGTATTGGGCAAAAGGAATAATCACAGAAAACAGGTCTTGTTCGCTACCCTCGTTCCT